CCCTCCAATCTTTGCAAGGTTCTGAATGCTGTAGTGGGAGAAGATTTCAGTGTAACTCTTTAGGCCAGTATACATGACATGGCCAGAGTTTGAAAAGTTATTTTTTCACAGTAGTCTGCTATGTATCTCACAACAACCCCATTACCCTAAATGTGTGGGGCTAGTAGAGCTTCCACTAGTAGTTGCAATCTATTTGAATTAATTTGGGGCAACATTCAACTTGGTTATTCAAGAGAGGGTAATATGCAGGATCCAGCACCAGCTATACCAGCAATCACTATGGAGACCCCAGGCATGAGGAACTATACATATTTTATGAAGAAAAATAGAAAGTATCATACACACTAATATAGCCCATTCAGATAGTAGTAGTAGTAGTAGTAGTAGTAGTAGTAGTAGGAAAACCACTCACAGACTGCGTGGAGGGAACATCCGGCAGGGTGTCCATGGCCTCCACTGCCACTGTATCTTCTCTGGTGCTGGGATGCCGTAGACTGTGCAGGTGAGAATATGCCGGCTTTCACGAGAATAAATATTAGGTGAAGATGCTTCTTTTTCATGGATTTGTGGAGGAACTGGAACCAAAGGAATTGCAACGGACCAACACTGATAATCACTCCTTTGGGATGATTACTTTTGCCACTCCCTTTGGCAACCCTTTCCTTGCCTGTACTATTGCCCCACTGTCTCCCTTCTCTGCTCTGGTGCTACTGCTACTGGAAATAGTAACCTTGTTCTTCTGTCTTGGACAACTATTCAAGGAATTGTAGCATTCATAGGGATGCCTAATATCAAAGAGGGCAAGTTACTTTTTTTCTGGTGCTATTAAAAGCCATTGTTTTGATAAGGATGATAATGTTCTATCTGCTTGCGGACAACTGTTAACTTGCTAAAGATGAATACAGATATACTATGCTACATGGGGTTATTTGACACATCTAATTTTTGAAATCAGCCACTGACTTTGAGGAGTAAAATGGTATGAATTTAAGCAATGTATTGCAATGTTGTAGATATTATGAAGGAAAGTGAGCACAAGCCATGCAGAGCTGGCACTTCCACATCTCTTACAAAGTTTACTGCTTGGCTCAGCAAATACCATTTAAATGTAAGCCTACATAGTCCAAAGCACCCCCCTCCCATTCTTGTTCTACTTGAGCTTGCCATAATTAAATTAATTTTATAGCTTTCTTAATATGAAGTAACAAAGGAGTCCTAGATAGAAGAGAGAAATAGAAGTTGAGGACTAAATCATACAAGGCATTATTCATGTTGTTTGGCTTTGTTTGACTGTAGAAGGTGGTGACTTTAATCCCTTGAATGTTCTATGGGCCTAATCCGAATATGGCCTCCTCACATCCCTCTCCTGGCCTATTGGTTCTTTGTCTAATTTGGATTGGAGCAGAGCTTGGAGAAGTTACTTTTTTTACTACAACTCCCAGAATCCCACATAGTTTAGCCACCTGCCAGAATCCTGGTATGGCAGGTGGCCAAACTATGTTCCTTGGGGCTGTGTTTCAAGGACTTATTTGTGAGATAAATCCATCTGAGAAGAAATGGCTTCCAGGCTGCAGAGTGCCTCAGAGTTCTCCTCCCATAAGGCAAAGTTGTTTTTTTTCTTACCATTGACAACCAGCTGAAGAGTAATGCTCTTCTCCAATCCAGCCAAACTATTCCTCAAGACCAATGTATAAGAACCAGAGTTCTGCTCTGCCACATCTTTGAGCTGTAGGGAGTATTGAGATTGTTTGTTGGAAATTAACTTTCCATCTTTGAACCTGAAAGAAGCAGAGAGAAAAGGGATATAAATTGAGAGCTTCCTTCCAAAAGCCAGCCACAGGACTTCATACTTTGAAATAAGGCACTTCTTCAGAAGGAACTTGGCACATTTATCTCCCATTATGAGATATTTACTGGAAAAACCAAAAGGAAAATATTAACAATCACCCTGGGTACAAGGTATTAATAAGAGCCTGGGAAATTACATTTAAAAAGTAATTTGTTTCATTTATAGTTCCACTGTCCAGTAATTTAATTAGCAACCATCATTTTGTTGTTGTGTGCCTTCAAGTTGTTTCCAACTGATGGCAACCCTAAGGCAAACATATCATCAGGTTTTCCTGGCAAGTTTCTTCAGAGGAGGTTTGCCATCGCCTTCCCCTGAGGCTGAGTGGACTTGCTCAGGGTCACCCAGTGAGTTTAATGGTCGAGCCGGGATTCGAACCCTGGTCTCCAGAGTCACAGTCCAATGCTCAAACCACTACACCACACTGGCTCTAAACAACTATTATAGTTGAGGGTTTGTTTTAAGTAATTCTTTACTTCCTTCATTTCTCAAAAATAACTAAAATAGTTCACAGAATCATAGAATCATAGGTTTGGAAGAGACCACAGGGCCATCCAGTCTAACCACCTGCCATGCAGGAACTCAAAATCAAAGCATCCCCGACAGATGGCTATTTAGCCTCTATTTAAAGACCTCCAAAGAAGGAGACTCCACCACACTCAGAGGGAGTTTGTTCCACTGTTGAACAGCTCTCACTGTCAGGAAGTTCCTCCTAATGTTGAGGTGAAATCTCTTTTCCTGGAGCTTGCATCCATTGTTCAGAATCCTATTCTCTGGAGCAGCAGAAAACAAGCTTCCTCCATCCTCAATATGGCATCCCTTCAAATATTTAAAGAAGGCTATCATATCCCCTCTTAACCATCTCTTCTCCAGGCTAAACATACCCAGTTCCCTAAGTCGTTCCTCATAGAGCATGGTTTCCAGACCCTTCACCATTTTAGTCACCCTCCTCTGGACCCACTCCAGTTTTTCAACATCCTTTTTGAATTGTGGTGCCCAGAGCTGGACATAGTATTCCAGGTTGTTTTTGTCTTTGCTAAAAAAACAAACATCTGAAAGCTGCAATTCACTGGCCTGTGGCACAATAGCATCCACCTCATTGCCCCTCAACACTCACAACAAAGCATAATGTAGCAGCATGAAGTACAACATAAGCCAGTACTTGAATCCCCTTGATATTCTTTCTCCACAATTTAGTGAGGATGCATCCTGCAACTATAAAGGTAACTAAAAGTTACATTTAAATCATAAAGGTATTTAGACCACAGTTAATGAGGAAAAGAACTGTTTACACACACATAATTACTTTATCTCACAAAAATTAAATGAAGTTGGTCAGACTGACAGAGTGGCTGTTCTAATTTTAGAGCCTTGCTACAATGGGCAAGTTAATCACAACTAGAGCAGGATACCATGGGAGATCATTTGGAAAGTGTTTCTTTTCATTAACACACAAAATCCATTAATGACCTCCTTTCCCACTACTGTTCTGCTAGGATTTCCTGTGTGACAGTTCAATTCCATTTTAATGCTGATTTTGGGTGGTCAGTGGGTAGTCGGTGGGCTTTGGGTGCTTTGAGAGTGGCTTTGGTGCTCTAATAATCAGGAGAGAAAGAGAAGGGGTGGAGATTTCAGTTTGATTTCTATTCAATTGGCAAAATAATTGAGAAATATTTAAATGTTTTTTCTCTATATATACAGAATTGGTACTTGTTAGAGAAGCTGAGGAGTTAAAACTTTGCTTATTGCCTGCTCCCATGTCACCTCCTTTTCCAGCTGAGCAGCCCTGTTCCACACTCTCACTCAGGGGGGTTGCAGACTGCCAGAAATAGTGCAAATTGAGTCCACTTTTAGGGTTAGGGTTAGGGAATCATGGGAACTGTATTTTATTGTGGCACCAGAGCTCTCTGACAGAGAAGGCTCCATGTCTCAGAAAATAAACAATTCCCATGATTCCCTAGCACTAACCCTAACCCTAAAAGTGGACTCAATTTGCACTATTTCTGGCAGTCTGCAACCCCCCCTCACTCACTCACTCACTCACACACCTGGAAATGTACGTGGAAAAGAATCTTATAGTTTTGAAAAGCATTTCATTATCCCTATTAATTGCTGGCAGATTAATCACCACTTTAGCTACTGGCTTTCATCTGCCAGGTATTAATTAAGTCCATCCTGAATGAGGAAGTCTTGCCCCCACCCTAGGGAAAAAAAAGGCCTTTTCAACTGTTTTCATTTCATTTATATTTCTTTTCTGTGTGCGTGTGGGATCTCTCTCTCTACCTCTCTCTGTGTGTGTACCTGTGTGCCAAACTAAGAAAAGAGGTGGGGATAATGTCTTGGAGGAGGTAGTGAGTGGGCAGTCCCAAATGCTGCCTGTTATAAGCTTTTAGTGCAAACAGAGGCTGCAATGTCAGAAAGTTTCTGAAGGAGTGATAGGAAAAGAACAATCCCAACAACATAGCATTTTTTTAAACAATGCTATTTTAGCAGACAAAGAGCCTGGTGTGATAAGCCTCCTATTGTTCATTGTGGATATTGTGGTCTAAAACTTTTGACTATTAAACATAACATTTAGGGTTATGGATAGACTCCTCTGTGTGTGTGCACGCATTCAAGTCACTTCTGAACTTATAGGGTGACCCTATGAATTTAGCAGGGTCTTCTTCGGCAATGAATACTTGGAGGTGGTTTTGCCACTTCCTTCCTCTGAATTATAGCCTACAGCTCCTGGTATTGGTTGATGCCTACCTATCTAAAATTTAGTATATTTGAAAACAACCATCTAAGTCATTTGAAAGAGCAGGGACATAAAATAATGCCTCGTGTACAATAGTATATACACAGTATAAGGACGTTACCACACGCGGGTCTCAAAGCGGCAAGAAAGAGGTATGGAACCAATCCAGAACTATA